ACGCCATACATCATCGAACGAGCAAAAAGGTGAGCAATATAAACTGTATATAAATTCTGATTCCCAAAATACCATGACAACTTGCTCGTTAAGTTAGGGCCGTTTTTCCAATCGTTGTAAGCACCTTCTTATCACCAAGTACAACATTAGATAAACTATGGCAGAGCTTCCACGATAATGTCTAACCCAGCATAATAGTAAAAATAACACATATATTTATTCGAAAGTATTTGACAATACCGAACTCCAATAACAGTACGACTACGTACTTGGCGTGTCTGCAGAGGTAAGCCAAGCTTCTACAAAAATCGCTGATACATGAGATTGACGTTCTACTATATTATTATCGAGTTCGTAAAAAATGTTGCTTTGAGTCAAAGTCAAATGATTTGATGAAAAAATAGAACAAATTGTCATGATTACATACCATGTCATCAGCTTCGACGGAACAACCGCAGTGTTAATATGTTTTAACGAAAGAGACATTTTTGCATGTCCCTGTCTCTTTCGATTTATTTAATGCAGCGATGAGTCACGTAAATTTACGGGCGTTCATCGCTCCTTTCTCCCATTCAGTTGTTGGCAGTTGCTGTAGAACAACCCGCTTTCTTCGTTCCACGACCGAGGATATACCAATCTTTAGTTTCCCGTTAATTTGAGCTAACACAATACAAATATAATAAAATAATTACGACGTACGAAAGGTCTAGTACTGGAAACAACTATTATAGTGAATTCGACATTTACGTAAATCAATAAGCTCGGTGTCACTGCCTCAGTCGACGGTGCGACACTGATAAACGCGGCCGACCCGGACCGAACAGTGTCCTCAAAAGTCGGACCCCGTCATTAAAGCACCCCGTATGGTTGATATACTCTGCTTCCATGGCGTTGAATCGCGATACTGCACATCGATTGAATTTTTACTAATCTAACGGTTATTTTGTTTTTATATGTAATAATAACACGACGTCCGACCATCCGTTTGTATAATTGCATGGCAATCCCCAAAACCAATCCACACTCTTATATGTTTCTATGAAGTTATAGATGCGATACAAAACAGACAAGTTTATATCAACTGTGATGTTATCGTTAATATTATTTATCAGTTGCTATGACCAAACATCTTCCAATAAAAAATAAATATGTGTCTTTTATGCAAGAGACACGACTGTCGATCGCCGCCGGGTTAAGGTCATAAGTGTCCATCAAGAGTTTGGTTTTAGTAGAAAATAGTCGAAGAATGTGAGTACATTCACCACCATGATTATTTTTGAGACATTCAGGCGATTTGAAAACTTGATCACAGGTATAACAATGTGCTGAATGCTACGATCTTCAAATCGAATGTCGGGTCGTCACCCCTGGCCATCATAGTTACTAACAACTTAATCCGAGGGTCATGACTCCGTGTGATCTTCCCACAAAAAAGACAAGTGAAGCAGAAATTGTTCAGCCTGATTGTCACCTGTTATTTAAAACAATGAGCCCGATACACTTTCCTTGTTGGCATTGCCAATTTATTACATACCCCAAGATATATCCACCAAACCAACCGAGCGCGTAATTTAATTCTGCGAAGAAATCGATGAAGAGAAAAAAAATGTCCATTCTAATATGAAGAACTACAAGCACAAAACTTACATCCCGGGCTTTTGCGCTTACTGTGATTTATACAAGTCAGTTCTCTATGCACGAGGCTGATTTAACTTAATCTCGTACTTCATATTTATACGGAGGATATTTCATTAAAAAAAACACACACGAAAAAAACGGGTGCATTTCAGTCGACGCGACATGTAATACGGAATAACTTAAATTAAATGTCCCATCTATAAGTCTGACGTGGTACCCGTAACGTACCGCCATCATGGTGGTGGAGTTGCGTCCCTTCCCATGATATAACGTGTATAGGCACAACGACAGAGACGTGTCTATTATATTGTCTAACACGTGAAATCATTAAGAATGCTCTTCATGATGACACATCAACGAAAATAAGTTCTCATCATCCACTATCGCATTTCGTCCATTTTTAATGAGTTTTCGATTGAATGCGGCCGGCTATTGCTAAATAGGTTTTAAAGTTGCATATACTAAGTCTATACGGCACAGGGATCCGAGTAATTATTTGTCGCATAGAACTACTCGCGTGTCATTCATATTTCTTTACGCATTCCACTGAATATTTTATGTTTTTCGTCTTTCTTTCCTTCACAGTTTGTTGCGTCGCGCCCATTTGTTTTCCGTCCCACCACACTTGATAACTAAAATCGTGCTTCGAGTTGATTACACACTTTTTATTGGCCTGTTTAATTTCCTGATACGATGGAATAAACTTGACAAGTAAACTATTGAAAGACGTGTTACTTTTCTTAAAACCAATGATGTGTGTTGTTTTTTTTTTCACGAAAAAAAAAATGATTTGCTATATTATAGCGCGTCTTATTCGCGTGAGCGCTCTAGTGTCACGAGACAGATAAAGCCCGCATGAAATATACATAGTAACCGAAACGCACGCGTCTTTACTTTCTTTAAGTTGACGTAATAGAAGGAAACGAACAAGGCGTTAAATTTGACCCCTTTAAGAGGAAATATGTTTGTGCGTGGCCTTGTGTCGATCTTAATCAATATAACAAGTAAGCATGGAATAAAACGGCATTTTGATGGTAACTGGGAGACAATGACTGAGCTAAATACCTCGAGCGGTATATCATGACAATCATTGTCCGATAGTCACCCTAGATCGCGATTTTCTTAATTGCATGTCTACCTTGTTGTAAACACATGGTCAAAGAGTATAAATAACCATTGTAAAAATTCAAGCAAAAGTAGAGACTTTTATAATTTGAAAAATTATCAATAATATTAATAATGATTATGATGAGCTTAATGATAACATTGACGCTGATGATGATGATAATAATAATGACGTTGGTTGATGTTGATACTAATGATAATAGTAAAAAATATTTATAATAATTAATAATAAAAAAACAAAGATAAGTCCTGCCTGTATAGCGTTGAATTTAAATTTGAGCACTTTTATCTGTACGAGCATTTATCTGATTCTCTACTGAGTGCAGAGCGCAACTGATCAAAACGTGGCATCTAGCTGCCGAACGCATTCATGTGTACGACATGAGAGTACGGTTGCATGACTCGCAAACTAGAATTGATTTATAGCGTGAAATCATCGGTTTTCCGCTCATATAGCATTCGAAAATGTCTCGACCTGTTTTAAAATATTGACAAGACTTAAAAATCTGCCTCCGGTAGGTGTTTAAAGTGAGCTGCAACGCTAATAATTCTCGAGTCTGTGACGCGCTTCGCTTGGGTTCTTTCTCTTTGCTACATGCCCTATGCAATTACCGACCAAGGCTTGAAGTTATGAATAACGAGTAACATAGTCGCAATCGTAGAGACCGACTTGTTTTCAGACTTGCTCGTATACCCGTCTGTATATATACTGTATAACTGAAAGGTTTCTGGTGAATACCGCAGAAATAATATAAACGTCAGACGAACGTGAATCATAGCGGCAGTAGTAGGTTTGCCCCAGGAGTCATAAAAAAGTTATCATCTTATGTGATAATGGTGAACTTGCATATGTGATTTTGATCAGTGTCTGACGTGGGTGCCAGTTTTCAACAGAGATAACTCAGGTGAGGTCACGATGTTATCTGATTAACACAAATGCATAGGACTGACATCATCATACTTCGCAAATAAACAATTGATTAAAAAACTCGAAAAGTTGCAATGATTGGACATACGAAAAAATGAAAATGCGTATTTGTTGGGGAATCGAAGTTTTCGCGGCTGTGGTAATGAGCCGTTACTTGGCGCTGCGAACTGATAAGAGAAGAAGCTATCTGAAAACAAGATAACATCCACTTTAGAAAGTCATCAACACAAAACAGATGGGAAGTAAGACCGGGGTCTCCCTCATGGCCTGACATAACGAAAAGGGGCAATGTTCAAAAGTTTTACGAGTGAGTCCCACTGGTCTGATACGATCACTGATATGCTTGGTTGGGTAGAATGCTTAGATGCAATAAGGAAAAGAGTCATTTTCCATGATTCGCGCTGATAGGAAACGCTACGTGGTCTGTGTGCACAATACACTACTGGGAAGGTGTAGCCGGTAATAAGCTTTTATTGAATCGGCATGTTTACCATTATCATTCAATTAGCATCCGGGATACAAGTCCAATTACTGTTAGACTATTCCAATGAACAAATCGCTTATGCTCTTGATCAAATTTGGATGCGATAAAATACAGAGCGTTCCCGGCGTGGAATATCTGAATAGCGATGGGGCGAACAGCGGAATTGAACCCCTCTAACCGTATTACGGCTTCTCGACTCTGTGTGAAGGATTATGCATGGGATCACCCAGCGTGAAAACGTCCATCTTTTCGTCTCTAATAGCCATGAGATGAAGTTTTACCGTAATAAATATTTCAGTAGGTTTGCCTTCCTTTGGGTCTGTACGTCACAATCGACTCTAAAAAGTTGATTAATTAAAGCATGTGTGTGTCATACATACAACCATATAATGGCGACTACTTACAGTCCAGTAACATCACCCGCGTCAATTAATAATGTTAGTTACGTCCATTTAAGAAGCCCATCGAAAGGTTTAACAACTCCCGTCATAGCTGACCAGCGCTCTCTATCGCAGTTTCGTCTCATTTAACTAGTCAGTAATCGGTATTTTGTTTAATCGCATCCCTTTTCTCTTATCTGTATTTTGGAATGTCTTTCAGTTCCTGCGTGAGTATTTTTTCAATGTTGTGTGCGCGGCCTCAGCGGTGAGGCCACTGAGATAGGCGTGTTCATGTTGACCAGTATTTGTGCTATTTTGTGTAGACGCTTCTACCGCCGTGTTAACCACGGCAGTGGATTCTCGGATGACAATCACGTGATTAGGTGTTTTTCTGACATCTAATAACGCATATTTTTTTGTATTTATTATATTGTTAGGATCAATAATGGCACTGTCGCCAGAATCCAGTACAGGCTCTGCACATGCGGATTCAGGTATCATGGTAACTATTGCGACCACATCACCTCGTCATTCGCCTTACTCCCATTCCAGGGAAAGCGACGATAGCGCCAAGGAAGATGATCACCCTGACCCGGCCTGTGATGCGTCAGCCAACCCCAATCCAAATATATGCAGGACTGTAATTCTGAACGGCGTGCCCATCGCTTCGTTGGTTATTGACAGGGCGGAGCGTTTATGTTTGGCTCAGATATCTAACACTTTACTCAAAGGGTATAGCTACAATGAAATACACAACAGACGCGTGGCTCTCGGAATCACCTGTGTGCAATGTACCCCAGTACAACTTGAAATTCTCCGCAGGGCCGGGGCGATGCCAATCTCGTCAAGGCGATGTGGAATGATCACCAAAAGAGAGGCAGAACGTCTTTGCAAATCTTTTCTAGAGGAAACCACGCCTCCCAAGCTTCCAGAAAACTTCGCCTTTGATGTGGAGCATTTTTGTGCCTGGGGTTGCCGGGGTAGCTTTATACCATCTCGCTACAACAGCAGCCGCGCCAAATGCATCAAGTGTGCATATTGCAACATGTATTTTTCCCCAAACAAGTTCATATTTCACTCACACCGCACACCGACTTCAAAATACAACCACCCGGATGCAGCTAACTTCAACTCGTGGCGCCGGCATATACAACTGACCGGTAAACACTCTGACGAACTGATGCATGCCTGGGAGGACGTGAAAGCAATGTTCAACGGGGGGAGCAGAAAGCGAGCGCTGAGCGGACCCCAACACCATCATCACCACCAATCACATGCTTCATCTTCGTCATCGTCGATCACCTCTTTTGATTTCGGGTTGAACAGCTCCCAGCCCGAGAAGAGGACCCGGTTAGACTATGACCAGCAAACCATGCGAAATAACGCAATATCACGCCCATTCAGCTACCCTCTGATACCAGTACCTAACAAATCGTATGCGATGCAAGGAGACACCATCATGCCAAAGAAATCGGACATGGCCGCGGCAACGTCCCCCTCTTCTTATCCTGCCATGGACTTAATAGCTAAAAAGCATCTATCGCCGACTTCGTTAAAACGCGGGTTTTCTGATATGATGTGGGGCGGGACGAAGGAAGTGTACCCTATGAACAACCCGTGGACAAAGACATTCGGAATGGGAATCGGAAGTTATTATCCGGCGCCGATCACAAACGGCGGCATGCCGTCATACAAGGGACAGACATACCCCATGCACCAAGCCACAGAAAGAAACAAGCTACTATCGCCACAGCTCGCATCGCCTCTGTCGGACGATGTCGACCTCAACAGGCGAGAAGATGATGAGAAATTTAACCCCTGGGACTTGGAAATGAGGAAGAAACACGCTGAAAAGGGTGATAAAGTAGGTGACAGTGGGGAGAGCAGCAACAGGAAGGTTACCAAAGAACAGCAGGACGCACAATATGTATCTGCTTTTCGACCCGTTAACCGAAATCACTCGTCAGACAAACTACTCGTTCAATCTAAAGAGCTCGCTCTCCAAGACGGGAATGACCAGTCGCCAAACTATAATACAGTCCGTGATAACGATGAGAACATCAGACCAGACCTATCTGACGACAACTTGAGTGACGACGATGACGTCGAAGACGAAGAAGACAACCACGGCCACAACAACAGCAGCGATATTGACATTGTGGATGATGTTTACAAAATGTCGACACCGATCGAAATATCACTGCATAAAACCAACAACAACAACATCAACAACAACGACAACAATCGCCCTGGTGAAGCTGAGACAAACGAAAACGACGACGAAGCTACCCAGCACCATGGCGAAGAAATGGAACACTTGATCATGAATGAAAATGAGAAGAAATCGCCAAATTCTGTGAAATGTCCGACCGAAGTAGCACCAGTATCGTTATCGATCACAAAACTCCGGCATTCCCCTGTGATTGGACAGGTAAGAACAATTTTCTATACTCTGCACCTGTTTTGATTATCTCTTATTCTAATGGTATGCCCTTATTATTATTAATTCTAACGTAATTAGGAGTACATTCAAGCAATGTTTTATTCCACTTTCGTGAAAACTGATTTGCTCCTCCTTTTTCAAGTTCTAAACCATATTTGCCAGAATCCAATTACAGATAACTGGTCAAATTTAATTCGGAGAACTATATTAAACCAATTAACTCTAAGCCCAATAGTGTTAATACGCCAAAGTGATGCTTTGTACGCGCAGGAGTAAGCAAATTAGGGCTATATAATAGCTATAAGGGAAACGACTTGCACTCCCACCTTTAAAATGCAGATGTCGAACAGCGCTGTAAACTATGCAAATCTAATCAAGGCGACCACAAAAGAAGACATTCCGCCACATTTTCAGCATTTTCTGGTTAATTTGAGAAATAGTGGTTTTAAAATGGACTGAACGTCACACGATTACAATGTAGCATTCGAATCCAATGGTGCGAATAAATTGACTTATATCAGTAATCTGCCAGTAAGTGGGCACCATTTTATTTATTACTTCAGACAATTTATTGGAATTGTAGCTTTGCACACAGATAAGGTCCGGTCTTCGTGATACCATTAATGGCAAAATACCATAAATTTACACACACGCAAAAAAACAAAACAAAAAAAGCAAGCGTGCACATTTAGTTATTAAACTGTTATACACAAAGTTGTTTTAAATAGACGATTTCCCGGTAAGCAAAAAAAAAAGGAACGGGATTCAAATGAAAAGTTCATCTAAGTGTCCATCCTGAAAAGTAATTAAGTTCTCTGCGTTGACCAATTGTGCGCTGACGTATCTGCCACCTAGCACTTAGATCCGAGGTGTGTACCCCCTGTGTCGACTGTTTAGTAACGTTGTTAACTGTCGTGAGCTTTATTCACGCCCGGCGGACAAGACTCGACATAATAGCCATCCCTTAACGACCAATATTGATGAGGAAGAGTAGATATTTAGTTATAACTAAGAGACGAGAGTGCAAATATACCTAGTCTTAATAATGATTTATTACTGGCGATGTCTTCCTTTTCTTTCTCTACCGTTGATGGGTTTAATCGGAGTGGAGCAGTTACTGTTGCGAGTAATGAATAAACCATTCCAATGACTCCACACTGCGGCGTTTATCTTGTCAAAAGAAATAATCCAAAATAGCTCAAAAGCAATGTTTCGTCAAACAAATTAAAATATGGACGTATTAAAATCCCATCATTTATTCATCAGGTACATTTATCTGAAGGCTAAGAGCGAGTGTTCTTTAATCTTACAAATGTATACTGGCGAATAAACTGGCGGTAATCGGGTTTATTGAATGGCGGACTGAACAGTCGTACGTGTACTCATATAAAATTTATATTAAATGTATTAGTACAGTGTGTGGTCATTCGAAACAAGGGCTCAAATGAAATGGGTTAGAAAGCATTGCTAATAGCATTTAAATGGAGATGCTGTCACGCACGGAAAGAAAATTGGACTTGATTAAAACATTAACTTTATACAACGTGATAAGGTATTGGTTTTTATAGTATTTGTCGTTTTCAGACACGTTTTTGTCTGGTGCCATTGTGGCTGTTCGTATTAAGACAATCCTGTGAAATTTTGATAAGGCGAGTGAATGAAAATAAAGATATGTAACGAAAACGCATCCAGTATAAGTATGGTCTGTCAGTAGGCTGTTTTCGTACCGCTAAATCACCGTGAATTAACTCGCTGTCGCGGACATGAAATTTAAACTCGCATTAGTACTATAAATGTTGGTTAAACGATAGGGATATTTAATGCACTGTACACATCAGCGCCTCGTACTCGGGCTCCCCTAGGGGCATGACTAGGGAAAGCAAATTAAAGTAGTCTTTTGTTGATTAATCGAGATGAGGTAAAGTCTGTTGTTGAACACACTCGATGTTATTGCCTATAACGGGGACGATTTTGTAAATTTGATAGAGTGAGCGGACGTCTGCCATATTCATATTGTTTCGAAAAAAACGATTTTTCTTCAGAATACCCGCACACAAATACATTTTATTTAGAATGTGTTTATTTGCATAGATCGATTAAATAAAATAAAATAAACAGAATAATTTTAAAAGTTGTAATATTTGAAGCGATAAATACTAACTTGAGAACCTGTGAAATTTTCTTCACACCAAATGATGCAGTGTGTTGTCAAGGTCCCTGTTATCCACCGTATATTCGACACCTTCTGCATGGTTTGCTCATGTCGGTCGCCGATGAGGTGCTTTTTTAATGCTCGACTTGGCCCTTTACTTTCTCTCATCACTCCCTGTAGAGCATCAATTTCACACCCGGGACAATATTTCGAAAATTCCACGATTTTTCTTCGCTCTGTCTCCAAGTGTAAATGGTTTCATCATGATTGTAATCTCAGGAAAAAAAACTTTGATTGAAGAGCACTTACTATAGATGTATAATTTTGTTAATTCTTTCCTCTTTTCCGCCAGGTTTCACGACCCTTCTGCGATGTGACGTCACACTGTTCATCCACTGGGCCTCTGTCAGGTGTACGTGTCAAGACTCCGCTGGGTAGAAGCGGGAGCACACCAAAACAAGAATCCGAGGCCGGAGACGGGCTTCAGCAAACTCATGGTAAGTTTTTACAGTATGTGTTTTACCGCGACAACTTCAATGTGGTTGTTTTTAATTTTATTTTGATTCTCGAAATAAATAACATTTTGATCGTTTTAAAGTTGCTTTTGTCGTTCATCATTCGCTAATAATAATTGCGTTCAACTTTTACTTCCTTTGACAGTTCACACTGCAGTTATTCCACCAACGGACCTTGTCTCAAACCAGGACAGGGATTCGCCCTCACCGGATTGTCTGAACCACAGCAGTGAAATTGGTGAGTGCGTAAAATCCGATGGCTGTAACTAACATTGCCCTGACAATGTATTTCCGCGTCACCACGCAAACACACTACATATGGGTCAGTCTGTAATAATAGTTACTTGTATTTATTGTTCACAGACAGGCACATCGATATCCGATCTTTTCAAAGTAAATGCTCCTCAGAAAAAGACATGACTTCAATGGACAAAGGTAAGAGATGGTTTCCATGGCAATGACATCTTGTCAATAACTTATTTGATCAATTATTCATTCTTGTATTAATTTTAAGTTTACACACGGACATTCTGAACTGTGAAATGATTAAGGTTATTTATGGATCTCTACTTGAAAAAAAAATGTCAGTGACTCCATTTTGTATTTTCATAATATATTGTTGTGAAGTTTACACGCCAAATTGAATCCACATCCTCAAATTTGTGAAGTCAAGGATCTTTCTACCTTTCACGGACTCGCGATTTGACGGGTCCACATGCTCAGTCCGAATTCGAATCCTGATTCATACTCCTTCGAGTTGGTCCCACATCGCACATCAGTTAGCCACCACCCCCCAAAAAAACGATGTTACGGTAAACAAATTTAACTAAATTCAGAAACCGTTTTACATCCAAAACTTGTTTAAACAAAATATACTTTAGTCTGAAATTACCCCCTCCCACGTGATACTAATTGTTAACAATGCTTAATTTGCCGCTTTTCTGAAAAGGACTGATATTAAAAAAATGAGACTTTGATAAGGACTTTTATGAAGGAAGTGATCAGATAACATCTATATTGAATACATTTGAGTTGATAATAACGGTGCACGTATTATTAATGTGTATTACTAAATTGTGTAATTTGATTTATCCTCATCATCTTTCTCTTTCTCATAATCATTATCATCATCTTCTTAATGATTAGGCGAGCTAGAAAACGCACTGCGAAGACAAATTCAGCTTAGGAAGAAATTTGAGCAAGAGTGTCAGCACCTAAAAGGTAAGAACGACGATGTAAAACCAGTGACTATATATAACTACATATACATATACCGTTTTTATCTAATATACACGATAGACAATTGACAAAAGGACACACATTAATTAAAGCATACATGAGTATACGGAACGTCGGATAAGAATCCTTCGTGTGTGTGTCAATGGTAGGTTTGTTCATACATTGTCTGTATCCCCAAAGGGATAATTCTTGGAATAGAAATTAAAGAATATCTGGAAATCATTTACCGTAACTTAGTGGCTCCTGTGATCGAGGTGGAAAATATGGTTAAAACCTTATGGGTAGTTAAGGGGTTCCCAGATCACGTGACGCCCGTCATAGTCGTCGACTGTCTGCAATCTGTGTTGTGTAAAAGTGTGTATTTTTATTTAATTTTACCGATAACACTCAAATAAAACACTTTTCAGCGATAACTTAGGCCCGGCTGAAGTGGTTTAATTTCATCTATTAGATCCAACACAAATGATACCTTTTTTTCAACCGGGGACCGTCTGTCAGGGTTTCGTCTCCAATATAATGGATGCGACACGTGCCTCTGTATAGTTGCGCTGTTGGTAGCTGCTCAAATTTTCAACAACCCCAACACCGTCCAATAAAAAGAGATCCTTTCAGCGTGCACGCATAAAGCGTGGATAGTGACTGCGGCACAGAAGTCAAACGCCCTGCATTCTCCTATTACCGTTCTTGACTTGTGCACAAAAGGCGGCTCGCCGGCACTTCACACATCAGAGGGAACGGTAGCGAGCACTCGCCATATGGGCAATAACAGCGAGAACAAATAGTTAGTATTTGTTTTAAGCATTTGATTATATTGTTGAGTGTAGACAAAAGCAGTCCAATTTTCCTTTGTCTGTTTTATGTCGTACTTAAAAGCACGTGACCGTTAAAGTAAAATGACATCAACGTGGTGATTGGACGTGTTTATAAAATCAATCGATTTGTTCATGTCTTTTACTCGATGACAAAGAAGTTCAGATTTGGCAAATGTGTTTAACATTTTGAAGGTTTTAAGTAACGATCCTAGGCTTTTTGAAACATTTTAATTCTCGACACGTGTGTTTATAAATGAGAGCCAGAAAATAGATTCACATCTTTCAACTTGACATCAAGTTCATGTCGTAATTATTACCACTGCTACTTATACTAAGTCGAACATTTGTTTAGTATATCCGAGACGTAAATTCGTTTAGATGGATATCGTCGTCTCACTACCGATGAAAACAGTGCCAATAATGATGTGAGAATCCCTCTTCACCTTCAATCTAATTACCTCAAACCCTATAACGTGACAGACGCTCTCGTCCTGGTCGCTGTATGGGAAAAAAACATGACAATAGCACCATTTTCGCTATACTGATTATAAAAAATGGCAACTTTGGCTAATTTAAACCCTGTCCTGCGGGAGTGTTTCTCCACGGGGGTTCTCAGTTAATTCCACAGATTTTCCTCCGATTTCGGCGCTTATTTTTCCGAGATTAATTTCATCTTCATGTCATAATAGTGAGCCCATCTGTTTCCTCTGTCCAATTACAGATACCTTTCAAAATCAAGTGAAAAGAGAGCTGGCTTATCGAGAGGAGATGGCTCACCAGTTGCAAAGAGTCCGAGGTAGGTTCTTGAAATTTACGAGTTTATGTGTATCTGGAACGTCATCAAATACGCAACACTTCCACTGGATAATGGCAGATGTCGATTCGTGACACGCCATTGTCCTCTAAATATCAAGCGTAATTAAGTTTTTTCCTCAAATAAATCATTAATTACACGGTCTAGTACTACACAAGTAGTAAGGCAATGTAAGTAAGTTGGGGTATCAGTCCGTTAACTGTCACGAATAGTAGATTAAATTAGTACCCAAGTGTTGATAACAATCCCCTACCAATATAACGAGCAGATGCTATATTTCATTATTCAAAGCTATACTGAGAACGGGTCATTTCGTTGATGAAATAAACATGACAATCAATCAAACTCAAAGAAATGATATTAATAAACGAGTTCCACAATAACCTCTTAGTTTGACATCAGGGCAACAAAACTGGAACCATTTATTTATTTATTTATTTATTTATTTATTTATTTATTTATTTATTTATTTATTTATTTATTTATTTATTTATTTATTTATTTATTTATTTATTTATTTATTTATTTATTTATTTATTTATTTATTTATTTATTTATTTATTTATTTATTTATTTATTTATTTATTTATTTATTTATTTATTTATTTATTTATTTATTTATTTATTTATTTATTTATTTATTTAAATATGACCATAATAACCGAATACAACTATGCAAATGACAATCACTAATACTAACTAGTTTTTCGGATTGCATCGTTTATTTTAGTAATTTAAAAAAAAAAGTGATTTCGTGAGTTTTTTTTTCTGATCTTTAAATTTCCCGACCGTGTCTAGGACAGATGACAGCTTGAGCCACTGACGTAAAACATACTACATCAATTCTAATTATGTAGTATTTTTTTTAGAAAGTTCAGCGGAGTTATTATCATTAACAGAAGGCAACCATGATTATCGTCAGTATAATCACACGTGACTATTGTCAACTATTGTGAAACTTAAAATCAAATGTTGGAACTCGTTCCTACATATTGTTCAGTGAATTGTAAGAACAATTATTCAAGATAACGATTCATTTGATTCATTTAGATTCATTTGAGGTGCCCGAGTCAAGCTACAAGCTTACAAGCACGGGAACAAAACACACACGCGAAAAAACAAACAAATTTGTGTCATTTTCTCATCTAATTGCTGTATATCGGAACAAGCTACCAAAATGATGTATATTGCACTTGTTATTAGATTAAAGGGCGGCAGTCGTCGTGCTGCGTCCTGTTCGATATGGGACTCATAGCGACGTATACAACGCGTGTAAAATACACTGTTTATTTACATGAAATTCAAACACGCGCTGCGCGACGACCACCGCGCTTTAAAATATAGCTCAACCATTATTTTGTTAATTTTTAATTACAGATACACTGTGCCACGAGCTCGATCAAGAACGGAAAGCTCGATTGGCTATCCAACAAAAACTGAAAGGAGACGAAATGGCATTGGCTCAACACCTTCGAAAGTCATCGCAGTCAGTGACTGACCGCTCCGATATCGACCGTACCTTCGCCTACTGGAGGCTGGCTATGTTCGGTGCCCCGTGCTTACCCACGCAGCACTGGAGAGCTATGGTACCAATGAGAATGAACGGCGACGCGAGCACGGATCATCCGTCAGAACTCAACCTATCTTCTTCCGAGAACAGAATATCAACAGCCAGAACAATGGAACTATACGGGTACGTTTTAAATATTCCGTTCACCCCCTTTCTCCCCGGCTACTCATGCCGAGTAACATATCCCCCGATCTCATTAACTATTCAGATCCTTACTTGCTGGCGACTTCGTACGGGGTTTCCTGTTACAGTACTGTATTATTAACTATTAAATACAACTCACACCTGTTCGAGGTGTTGTGCATTCAGTTTTGGACCTCTGGATCGTGTTCCATATTTATAATGTACGTTGGAAGCACACCTCGAATCTTAACTTTGTATGTTACAAGATGCGTCCTTCATATTTCATATCTTAACGTTATATGAAATCACGCCGCTCGGGGTTCATCTGGGCACCGAGCCCTCGAAGACATGCGACGATGCTACTAACTCTGCATTGGCATATATTCAATTATCTATCATTAGCCAGCCTCAAAACGTCCCAGGACGCAATATCTAGATTACATACGACATGATTTACGTTAACTAAAAATGTAGATTTTGCCAAAAAACTATATAGTGTTCGTTCTAGTGATGCGATTCTTTTTGTACATTGCAACAATGATCGGTGCGCATGCGCACGAATACTCAGCTGTGAGCTAAAATAGCGTGTATAGCTTACGATAACACATAATTCAGTGTATTCATCAGAATAAATCATCCAACAACAGTCTTAAAAATTACATGTTTTTTTTTTCCATTTTTCCCTAACAGATAGTGAGTACGTTTGTAGTTTCACAATGACACCTTATGAAAACATGTTTTAACAATCGATTAACTTTGTTCTTTCAGGAACACAAGACGGACGTCTACAATATAATACGACTGAATGCATCATAGCAACAGAAATAATCAGATTCGTTTGATTTCTTCGCGAATCCGAGATAGAGAGTTCGGCGTCATCTGCCACGTGGTTTCAAAATGCGCATGCTCAGTTTGTTAAACCGCTTTTCTCGAAAATTGGGGGGAAAAGACCGACTGATGTAACACTGAGTTGGATTTAATGTACATATATTCTCCGTGTTTATTTTTCGATGTTTTTATGAAGTGCAATATTTATCTTATATTTATACATATGGAATCTGATATATATTTTCTGATAGTACGAAGTGCGCATGCCCAGTAACTATGCCGTCTGAACATGTATTGTATATGAGTAGATGTTTTATTTTTTATTGCGTAATAGTTCAGCATTGAGTGTAAATATATGTTGTTGTACTACGACGCCAAGTGTTGCAAGAATATTCTATCATACAGAATAATAAAAAACAGAATTTCATAGCCTTTTTCTCAAAATCAAAATTCTGTTTTTTATTATTCTGTATGATAGAATATTTTTGCACTTGGCGCGCCGTAGCTGTACTTTGATTCAGCTTGTAAGATTTTAAAGTTTCCGGTGTTCGGAGGTGGAAACATAAGCAGTTACTCACGTGTGCTTAGAGCAATGTCTGTAAGATTGGTTAATTGCGAAGATCACGTTTTTTTTTATAGTTGTGCCAAAGTCTTTTTATATCTTTCAATAAAGAGGATCTATGTTTCACTATTGCCTGTCCGAATGTCATATTGACCAATCGCCCAGTCTATATGCCCCTGCTATGCAAGGAGTGGGTTGTTCGTGCCTCTGGCATGAGAATCCAACGAATTATAGTTCGGACAGACTCACAGAGAATCTTAAGTGACTTGGGATGCATGAGCCCAATTTAATTTAAAAACACTTGCGGTGACATCTACTTGAAATGTATTATATTCTGAAGAAGAGTAGTATGTGTATTATATTATTTATTTCAATAAAATATATGTTTCTCTCGTAACTACATTATTTCTCACATTTTATTACCAATATACATCTGATTTTGACTACATGTAGTGAAAGCAGCTGCGCCTCAAAACAATAGGGATCTCAGAACAAAGAAAAACAAAAATAAAATTGCGGTTCAGGGTTTTGTGGGTGCCTCAAGTGACATCAAAAGTTATAAAATACACAGACTGAGATCGTCAACATGTGGTTTACCAAGCTGAAGCCTTGTGGCACATGAAAAGAAAGGGTTAAATATTCGTACCTCGTAAGCACCATACCCCGAAATTGTGAAAGGTAATATATATTGAAAGCAATCACATAAGGTCTGAAGAAAAAAAAAACGTCAAAACAATCACATATAGTCGTTAGATACTAACAAACGGTTGTCATGAATTATTAGGAAATCATCTGGGAATCTATTATAATATAAACAAGGCTTTGTAATTTTTCATGGAAAAATCCAAATTTCTCAAACATCAATTAATATACACGCGTTGTAAACGTTGCTAATATAAAACAGGACGCGTTGCCACGACTGTAGCGATTTGATTGATAATTACGTAACATCTTGTAAACGGAACATCGTGACAAAATATTTACCTCTAATACTTCGAATGCTCGGCCACGATTGACCGGATTATCTCGAAGTACAATAAAATAAGCAATACATATCGAATCTTTGATATTTTTTCCGACGTAAAGTAAGTCATGATAAATACCATTACTGCGCGAGAATCATGGTTCTTGTGACTTTAGCGTTACACTAAGTATTTTAACACGAAAACAAGTTTGGATGCATTGTTTCGGTGTTTGTTATATTGACATAAAATGAATGTAATAAATTATACCTGAATTGAATTGAGTGTCTGAGCATTGAACATATTGTTTAAATTGTTGCGTAATAATTAATTGTGAGTTGAGTCTTTAATCAATGTACACTTTATTTGAACACGGCGCGAATTATTTTATTTTTAAGATATGTCAGATATGAAATAAAAAAAATTATAAAACATTATATTTTATATATTCTACTATAGATACATTATAGGTGTCTGACATATTCTCAATATATCTTACCCAGACATTGTGTGTGATGTGATATGATATGTTACCATGGAAACCTAACGATGAAGTGCTCACTAAAATAGCGATTTCCGTCATTTTATATGCAAAGCAATAGTCCAATGGCTGTAGTTTATTTTGGGTTTGTGAACAGCACAAACAATCTGATGATCTGTTTGCATAGTTACTTGATCTGTGAAGAATACATCCTGTCACTCTCTGTCTCAATAACATAGCGTCTAGATCAAAACACGATTCCACTATATCAAGCCGATTATATCTCCGGGCTGGTTAAATGCAGCTTTGACCAGTTTTGGTCAGTTCCATACAAATGTTATTTCTTTCTGTTTATTGAATACTATCAATAAAGTTGCATTTAATGTCAGTGTGTTAAACGTCACTCCCAAGACTAAAAACATAAAATGTGTGAAAATTATTTTGTATTTGCTATGAACAAAATATTAAAGTGGATATTCAGTCCTTTTAACACACTTTAGAGTACTGGATGTTCTTATTTTTTAGACAAACATACAAACTGACCTTCATGGACAAATGTTGTGAAGTACCATCTCTTGACCAATAATACTACACTATAAAATATAGAGATTGTGAACGGATATGCATTCTAGTGAACTGTTTGAATTAAGTTAAATTTGTACAGAATAAACACTCACACGTTGGGTACTCGAAACGTGCGTAATATAATTGTTAATCCTTCTTATCACTTGGGACCCATTTGGTTAGTGTCCAAATCACGCCCTCATTCGTTGATCTATTATCTAACCAAAACAGGACGGACGACAAGCAAGTTCTGAACATATGTCCGGTACTTTTTACTGTCTTGAATTGACCAATGGTCGGTCTAGAATGTAGGTGATTATCCTCGGGGCGGACATCCTTTGCATACGAACACCTAATTACGCGAAGAACATAGAACACTAAGCCGGAGTATTTGAAACTAAAAAT